CTTCCTTCCTTCCTTCCTTCCTTCCTTCCTTCCTTCCTCTTTCTTTGTCTTTATTTCCCTTCCTTCCTCTTTCTTTCTGTCTTTCTTTTCTTTCTTTCTTTCCTTCCTTCCTCTTTCTGTTTTTATTTTCCTTCCTTCTTTCCTCTCTCCCTCCATTACTTTTTGTATTATGTGTATGCTAAATTACCTAGTTTTGTTAGTTCTAAGTCATAATTTCAGAGTAAAAAATAGTTTCTTTCTGTGTTTCTGAAGCCCTTTATTACATTTTTATTTAACGTGGCTATTCCACATGTGATTAAAAAATGACATGTATAATTATCTTGAAATCCTTCTCTACCACCTCCAAGCTTCACGCCATTAAGCCACTACTTAAGTTACTATATCAACTGAGCTGTTTGGTTTGGGGTTGTCAAATTTGCACGTAATTGTTTTGTAGCATGACTTTGCATTTCTGCAGTATTTCTGCAGTTCTCACAGGTAAATCAGACAGGAAACAAGACTAGCTGAGCTCATTCTACTTTATAGTAAGGTACTTATTAATAAGAATCTGGCAAGTCTGAAGGTACAAACTTTCCATCGTTACTTTTAACTATCTAATCAATGAGGGCAGTCTTTCCTAAATTTCTTTCTCTGATTGTTAAGCCACTGGGGGCTCCTCCCTCTCATCTGATTGTCTAGGGAGCATCTCTTCCCCTTATCCCACAAGGTCATCCATGGTTCCATGACATCAACCAACAACATAGTGTCTGAAGATGTCCTCAGACTCCTACCATCATCCAACTCTGCCCCAGTGTCTCCATCTTCAATCGCTTCTGCAGGCTCAGAACCCACTTCATCTTCATCATCATTCTCTTCACACAGAGCTACAATAAATGGTTGGTACCAATTTTAAAAAGAGACAATGGGGCGGAAGAGAAAATAGATTTCTGCTTGGAGGATCACTTAAGACACACTCCCGCAATCCAAAAACAGCAAACATGTGATGTTTGTTCTGCTAGGACTGTACCACTTTGGATTAAAATTGATATGTGTGACAGGACAAAACTATTCTGGAATAAAGATTTGCCTTTTTTTTTTTCATTTGAACACTGAAGAACATTGATGTATGTGACATTGATGCATCTGAGCCGAGACAATCAGATATGAGCTACAGCAAATCATTTTTTAATCATAAAAGCTCAATGCATATATGTTGGATAAAAACAAAAACTTCAGGTCATGAGTCCAATACATCTTTTTAAAAGTAGAATATGTTTGGTCAATATATGAAATGAAAGATGCCTTGAAATGTGATGCTGACCTTTTAGTATATTCATATTTAAATATTTATAATATTATACAATTATAGCCCTATTGAAGTTTAAACATAAATGGAAATATATTTTAGCTGCAGCTATTCTAAGCAACCATCCAAACTAAGAGTACAGTGATATCTTAGTATTCATCATTAATTGGTTCCAGGAGCACCAAAATTGATGAGCTTCAAACAAATTTTTCCCATAAGGAATAATGTAGTGTGTCACAAGGTGGCTGACAACACAAGTTCTAGCTTGTGTATTGAGTACCAAACAAACACTGGGATAAAAGTTTTTGTGGCTTTGGGTACCAAATTCAATGAATTTCAAAGTAGCTGAGTACCAAGGTACCACTGTATGTGGAGGTCAAATACATCATTTTAAAATCAAGCATAACTGGTGCTACACATTTAATTGATAAAATATTTTGGAACATCCTTCAATATAGGAGAGACTAGTCTCTCCTAAGCAATCATGCAATATTCCCATGAATCCAAATCAAATTTCAGTGATATGTTAATGAAGGCACAAATTAGCATATATTGGTGCACATCTATTCTTGGGAAAATGTGTTCTATTCATAGTTATTTTGCTAATACATCTTTGCACATATTAAGCAGTTAAACGTAAAGTGCAAGGGGTGGGGGGAAGCTCTCGCATAGAAACTTAAAAGCGATGCACTACTATATCCCAAACTACTGGAAGCAATGTTTTGCCCAGATTGGTCAGCAGTTAAAACTGGCTAAGAATAAGGCAATATGCAAACTTTGCTGACAGAAGCAAAAAAAAAAAAAAAAAAGTTTTAGAAACGCACTAGCTCCATCCATGCAAAATCTAAATTGCCAAGTCTCAAGCAATCTGTGTTCTGCTATCTAAAATTATAACCAATTCCTTTAGGAGGACTCAGCTGTAAGAATAAGACCAAAGGAAAAAGCTCTTTAGAAGCAACCTGTACGATTTAGCTATTTTATATGGAGTAGCAAAGACACTTTACAAAGAATCTGATCTATTATGGCTTCTATCTAGATGGTGGGATTCCAGTCACACAAACGTATCTCAATTCTGACTTTAATACACTTCAAATTGACTTCAACAATGAGTTCTCATTAAAGTTTTTGTCAACTTAAGGTCTATCTAGACCAGAGGTCAGCAACCTGCAA